ATCATGATCTAACATATTTAGAATCATTTGTCCCATGTTTCAACTACAACCCTTACATGTAATGCGTCTTTATTTTAAGGGGCCAGAAATATTGTAAAATGTCATATATAACCCATGATTTTTTTTGTTAGACAAACTTTTGATCAATCGATTTTAAAGTTTGGTCTACTGCCAATTACTTAGTCTCTAGTAGGTCTTTTTCTTGCAAATGTGTTTCCGATCAAGTGGCCTCTGAGTTGGTTAGTCTCTGGTCGGTTGGCTTTTGGTTAGTCAGCCTTTAATCAATCACCATCTAAACAATTGGCCGCTCTACCTCTGGTCGGTTGATTGCTATCATTCATTTTCTTCAGGTACTCTCACATTACTTGAGATTCATCTTCTTAACACGTACCTTATTCTGAACCATCGAATCCTCAAAAAAGACGATCAAACATCTTTTTTGTTACACACTTATTCTGAGAAGTAAAATGTTAGATAAATAAAAATAAAATTTAAATAGTAAATATATAAAAAGATAAAATTTATATGATGCATTTTTAAATACCTCACTTAAATTTGTCACTTCATATTAAAACAATTTAAAACCATTTATGAAGTAACCTCATTTTAATGAAAAGAGGTTTCTCTTTCTCTCTATTTTCTTCAACATTTGTGAATGTGAAAAAGCAAACGAATCTCCACCCAATACATAGAAAAGGTGGTGTCATAAAAATGACTACAATAAGCTGAAACAGTGCACTGCCCACCACCTTTTGTCACATCATTTCATGCCATAAAAATACCATAGAAAAGCAAATATTTCTGCATTGCATTAAAGCTTCAGAAGTGATACAGTCTCATCAAATAGTTCAGGAACTTGGACTTCCAGTACATTTAGAAAATGACACCACAGACCTCATTATCTATTGTAAGTAAAAATGCTGTCTTGTCACCCCTCAGATCCAGATCCAACGGTCATAATTGTCTCCAATATTAGCATTTCAAATTCAAATCTTTGAAACAAACACTTTTCATCAGCTTGACTTTGCTTCTGTCAGAAAATATGTCTTCAGCTTTAACTGGTGTTTCTTTAATTTGCCAAAGTTAAGTTGTATAAAGTCTGAAATAAATAGATCTGCAAAAGCTTATATATATAGAATTAAATAGGGCCCCCACACACACACACACACACACACACACACACAGATATATATATATATATATATATATATATGTAATTCAATATATAGTTTTTTTTTAATATTTTGTAAATACATTTGAAGTTTTAAATGCAATCATGATTGAATTTAGTATATCAAATTGCCTTGATAGTTAATATATTATTTTATATTAAATTTTATTTATTTTATTTTTTTTGAAAGATTTACATGCATGCAACTTAATTTTTATGTATTTAAATATCTAACACCTAAATTTTAGTTTTTATATTTACGTCGTCATATCTATGCATGAAATGATGCAATTTTTTTACTTTTTTTAATTATAATAGTTATGGTTTTTTTGGGATAAGAAAGATTTGGGCGGTATAAATATAAAAAGTAAATTTTGGGTGTTAGATGTGTAAATATATAGAAAGATTTGGGTATTAGTATTATTATTTTTCCCACACACACTCTCAATTAGAAAGCAATGATATATTATTCAAGTATCAACAATATGTGGTAATATCATTGCAGTTTTATTTTCACATTTTGATTCATCAAATTATTAGATCTAAGTTAAAAAATTTTAAATTATTTTTTTTTTGTTTTAAAATTGTACTATGAAAATTATGTTATTTTTATTAAAATTGTGAAGGTTTTCTACATTTGTTTATTATTATTATTATTATTATTATTATTATTATTATTACCACACATATGCTCAAAAACACGTACAACACATATGCAAGGCCTTGAACTCAGTATTTCTTGATTGAAAGACGATGCTATCAACCACTAAGGCAGGAGGGCTTGCGTATGAGTGTTTCTCTGCTTGTATTTTTTGTGAATGATTTTGCTTGGATAGTAGAGTCGTAATCGCTAGATATGGCTAGGCGAAAACACAGACAGGGAGCAGAGTAAAAGTGTGCTTAAAAACTTTAAATTGTATGGATCTTTATTTTATGATTTTTATCATTTCTCAACTTTTTTAAATGATACTTTATTTGATAATAATATACAAAGTCAGCACAATTAGTTCATTCATTTTTATTGTAAAAGTGTTTCTTTCATATTTTAAAGTTTTAATCTAATGTACACACACTCACACACACATATGTGTCGCATACTCTAGCCTGTCGGTAGGCATCCACGGTATAAGACCCCTCGGTTTGGGGGGTTCGAATCCCCTCTAACACAATTGGCCTTAAAGAGTTGGTACTTGAATTATTAGGCACGTCAGGAGTTACTGGAGATGTAGAATAGCCTCTAGTCATTCCTTTAAAAGAATATATATATATATATATATAATTCATTATTCAACTAAGAGAATTATGATCCCCTTAGGATAATCTATGTAATCAGTCCCGAATATTAGGATAAAGTAAATGATGATGCTAATGATTATGTTAATAATTCACAAAAAAAAAATCTTAATGACTCATTTGGTTGCTTATGAATACCTTTGCAATGATGAAGATTTTTTTTTTATGAAATTAACATTATTACTATTATTATTAAAATGATGAGCAAAAAATCATAAAATAAATGAAGAATCAACTCTGTTCCTAGTGGACCATGAATACTTTAATAAAATCATCACTGCTTGGAGAAATTATTGCGTACGGACATCGCATGCATCTCTGCATGCGGTGTCTGATCCTGACCGTAGATTATGGTGATCTACGGTCAGGATATATTTCAATTTTTTTTAATAAAAAAAAAATTTAGGTGGGGCCCACCGAAATACATCCTGACCGTAAATCAGGCAGTCAGGATCGGACACCGCTTGCATTTTAGGTGGGGCCTACCGTAGGTCAAAATCTTAATGACTCATTTGTACTATGATCCCCACCGCATGCATTTTAGGTAGAGCCCACCGAAATACATCCTGACCGTAAATCACCGAGATGCATGCGGTGTCCGTCCGTATAGAATAATTTTTCCACTGCTTGAGACATTTTTTAGAAGAATTATGTAATTTAAAATTAATGATTCTTAATGTCAAACTATATTTAATCGAATGATATAATAATTTAATATTTTTATCATATTTAAAAATATAATTTTAACATCAAATAATTATATGAGACCTAAGCATCAACACAACCCACTTATTAACTATGTTGATTTGATAGTTCTAACCTTTTCTTCACCTACTACTAATACTTTTTTTAAATGATAATTTTCAAAATATAAATTTTAAATAAACAAACTTTAAATTAAAAAATTTGATAAAAAATTTTCAAGTTTGTATCAACAAAACTAACCAACATCCATACTTCCCTTTTATTTTATTTTTATTTTTTTCTTTTAAAGTGTGGTTACAATAGGGGTGATGTGATTATATGTACTAAATAGTATGCATAAGGATGAAGGAATAGTAATATATTTTAAATAGTTATTAATAAGAAATAGAGTATATATCACACTATAAATAAGATATGAAGTAAATTACACATATTTTATGCATGAAGATAATGAATATTAAAGTATAAAAATGATATAAATTGTATTTGAATTTGTGGCATTAACATGACAAGCAAATTGCACACCATTTAAGCTAAAGGTCTTGCACCTTCAATCACATAACTTACTAATGCTATATATCACAACAACCCTAAACTTAATATCATCAATAACATTTTTTTTAGCAAATTTATCATTATTCAAGATGAATCCTATGAGGCTCATTTCAAGTACAATTAGATCCTAAATCATGTTTGGATAATGATTGAATTATCCCTCCAAATCTATAAGTAAGCCTCAATTCTCTTTATTATTATTATTTTTTAAATTTTGAAAAGATTTGTTAATAATTCAAAAGTTTTGATTTGTTGTAGAGCCACTTAGGTTTTCCCATATCCACAAACATTTGTTGACCAACTTAATTTGATGTCCATTGCTTATGACCTATTATTGTTAACATTTCATGCCACTTGTTGCTCAATTTTTGTTAATAAGACATTTAATGCTTCTTGGGCTAGAGAGTTCAAGTTCCAACTAGTTCACCAAGGTGGAAAAAATAGGTTTAAGATAAGCATAGAAGGTTTATCATTCAAAATCCTTCATCTTAGAGAGGAAAGCATATCACATAGAGTGAATACTAGAATAAAAATGAAAAAGAAGACATCATGTACAGAGTTTAAGTGATTCATCATGGCAGCCTACATGACTCATCTACTATAGTATGACTCATCCACTATAGTAGGAAGAGGAAGATTTGAATTATTACCCAAATGAATGAATTATAATAATTTATTCACTCTTTCTCTCTCTCTCATTCTATAATTGAGCAAATTTTATGCTTATGTTCATCTATGTAGCCTTGCATATCACAAGAAAAATTGAGTATTTACGCGCACTACGGCAGCGTCCGACGATTCTAAGTAGAAAGTGACAAAGTAGCCACAAACAATTGAATATATGATGGTAGCAAACCAAGTGCTCCATGTTGTGGGCCAGAGAATAATCCTACACCTATTGATATGCATCAAATATTTAGATGATTGTAGGTAGTTATGATCCATTGACTACTAGAGATTAATATAATGAAAATAATATGGTGCTACAAAGAAGCTTCTTAGAATGGTGGTCTCTCATAGGAAGTAGCCACATGTTGTCTCCTAACAAAACCAAAGTCTGTTATGACAATTATGGCAACATCAAAATGAAAAGCACAATCATCTTGCAACCAACTAATCCAATAAAATAACCCCAAGTATTCTAAGTGGTTTACTTAATGTTGATTTTGTCAATTGCTAATCAATGATTTGATGCCAAATGGCTTAGCACTAAATTATTAAATAGTTTACAATTTGATTACAAGAATCACTGGAAAATATACAGATAGAGTCAATAAAGAACATAATATCTATAGAAATATGAAAATATAGATATAACAACTAGAATTATCATATATTACAAAAGCTCTTCCTCAGATTTGAAGCCATGAGGTCTCTTCTTCCTATTTTGAATCTCACCTAAAACTACCTCACAAGTACTGACCTTTCAAGCATTTTCATTCCATTCACATCTCAAAATTTTCAAGGAGAGAAGCCAAAGTACCAAATTGCATACTTATCCTTATAGAACACAAACTTACAAAAGAGAAAATAGGAAAAAAAAAGAGGGGGGAGGAAACAAAAAACACAAAATATGGTCGTGGAGCCAAGGATCTATAGTGTACAAAATGAAGCTATGGAATGAGTTTTCAAATCATGGTTCTTGGCTGTTTACTCTGTTGTGAAGCTCTAACATCTCCTGGTGGTTTGGGTCGACGGAAAGGGCGGCTCTGCAGTCGCGAAGAGCTCCGGCAACATCTCCGATGTGCTCGTGAAAAGCCGCTCTCAGGTGGAGCAAATGGAGGTCGGCTTTGAAGGCGATTGCTCTCGTTAGCTCGGCTATCGCTTCGGTTTCCTTGTGGCTATCCATCAGCACTGTCAAGATCACAAAATATTAACAGAGATTTGAGTGAGTGTGTAGAAAATGAAACTTTAGGACAGATATATAAATATATAAGAATTGTATGTTATGTATGTAAATGCCCCTTGAAAGAAATGTCATGCATCATATATGGAGCAAGAATCTTTACAAAATCCAAACTTTTTAAATAAAAATTAAAGCTTTTATGGTTTTAAATCTTATCAAGCACAAAGAACCCAACTAGAACTCTGCCACACATTAAAACTATGGGACATTTACATACATACCGCCCGACTCTTATGTTTTTAAGCATCGAACACCTAAATTTTACTTCTTACGTTCATACCACCCAAATCTTTTACATCACATAAAGAATACCACTATTTCCTTCTGATTTCTTCTATTGTCTCCTCAATCTAGAATAAGGAGACATGCATACATAACACTCAATTCTTCAGTATTTACATACCTAACACCTAAACTTCAATTTTTACACTTTTTAGAAGTAAATAGTAGTAGTATTTTTCGATGTGATACGAAATATTTGGTTGGTATAAATGTAAACGGTAAAGTTCAGGCGTTACATATGAAATACATAGGCATCGGGCGATATGTATCTAAATGCCGCTTTAGGATAATTACTGAATTGTTCAAGTCAAAAAATGAAAAAAAAAAAAAAAGGGATAAAATCTAACCTGCGGCTCGGTATCTATAGGGATAAACACGGAGCGGGTCCAATTTGGTCACCATTTGCAAATCCGCCTTTGTTAGCTCGCGATCACAGTACTCGGACCTCTTCTCATATGCCGAGGCCGTGTTTCGAGCCTTCTCTATCAGCTTCGTCATTTCCTCGTAAGCCGAAGTCCTATTGTTCTTCAGAAAATGCACGCGAGCAAGTCCCTGATGAGCTCTCGTGTGCTGAATCTTAAGAGCACTAATATAACAGTCTGCCGCCAGATCGAGCTTCCCACAGTCGACATATACACTGCCGAGATTGTTCAAGGCCTGCAATATAAATTTTCAGTAACTTTACATTAGAAAATGGAGTGTGTAATGTAATAATAGCAATTGTTCTTTCAATTTTACTCCTTTTCATTGTAATAATGCAACATTTTGTTTGGAGACTAGCTCTCAAGCTAAGAGGTTTTTAATTAGATAAACAAAAGGTCAACTGGCATGACATTACATCTTTTGCAATATTTATCACTAAAGTACCATTTAATTCCCAAAATTCAATTTTTACATATTTGCCGCCTCACCTATGTATTAAAAGGTATGTTCCACTTTCTAAAAGTTAAATTGGTGGCATTTTTTGTGAGGTGAAATATTTGAGAGGTATAGATGCAAAAAGTAAAGTTCTGCTATTAAATTCCAATGTAATTTTCATAACCCAAGAAGAAACACATGCTGGATTGTGTGCCAGAAAAACAGACGCAATTTGTTCATAAAAACATCAATTTTAATGAGAAAATAGCTAAAAGGTGATTAACATGGGATTAGATTTAGTAGAATCATTGAATATCTATTGTAAAAACCCAATTAAATCACATCAGATGGGTGAGAACTTAGAACTAATACTCAAAATGAAACACCAACACACATAACTTGCTGTGGTAACTTCAGAATCTAAGGAAGTCTATTTTTGCAGCCAACAATGTGTAAGAGTTATCGGCATAATTCATTATGATATAAATATTAGAAATTTGTCTAATATTTATAATAGGAATAATAGCATATCCTCATTATAACGATCATTTATTTTAGAAAGAGTACCATACATACCACTCAATGTTATACGAGAAAAAGGTATGCGCGCAGAATTCACACCAAGAAAGAGAGAAAATGCAAAGAATAGAAATTTGAAAACAAGAAAAGTAAAGAAATGGAACATTAAGTAAAGAAAGGAACAAGATACAAGAATTTGCTACTCTCGCAACCGATCAGAATATAAAAATCACTTGCCAAAGAAACGACAAAGAAAAGAAATCCGAGATGTCACCACAAAACATATAGATACACTTGCCACCACCCAACGTCATAACCGGAGACACGTTCCCATCCAGGAATCACAAAGAGAGCCCTAGCCCTCACACAACTCACATGAACCAAAGACCTCTCTAATAAAAACACAAGACCACCTATTTATAAACACTGAGGACCACCACCTTATTACAAGTCTGTCATCCAAATAGAAAATACATAAAAAACTGAACTTTAACATAATATGGACTCAAATGACTCGACCAACCTACTCCGGATCAAGATTAAGATACTTCGTATCATAATGCCTATGTATTTACATATTTAATACATAAACTTCAAATTTTTACATAAATGGCACATTGCCTATGCTTGAAAAGGTATATTTCACTTCTCAAAAGTTAAAATAGTGATATATTTGATGTGATACGAAAGATTTGGGTAATATAAAAGTATAAAGTAAAGTTCAGGTGTTATTATATATAAAAACACAAAGGAATTGGGCGTTCAGTATGTAAATGCCCATTTATTTTATTGAAATGTTCTTTACCATTCTATTCTATTGCCCATATATAGGCACTTTTGTGTCCACATATAATTTCAACTTAATAAAAATAATTACAATTCTAGCTTTTATATCACTATGGTCTGACATAAATAAGAAATTTAACCCAATTATTGAAGTTAGTTTTAATCATATGTTGGGAACTTAAATAGTTTATTGTTTTCCTTTCTACATCCATCTGTATAAGAAAACAAAATTCAAGCATGCTTTTAATGTATAACTAAAATTAAGCAAATTCTAATGGAGTAATAAGCACGAAAGCGCATTCTCGTCTTAAAAGGCAACGAGTACCTGACCCTTTCGAAGCCTATCCGAAGGGCATTTCAACGCATTCTCAAGAAGTGAAATAACAGTTGCAGAACACGAAGGATCTGTGCTCGAATCCGCTAAGGCATAGGCTTTCAAAAAGAACGCCTCAAAAGACCTTTGAATGGAGATTGACTCCTCTGCTTTACGAAGCCCTTCCTCACAATGACCCGTATCATATAAAATCCATCCCTCATAAACTAGACGGTCATGTTCATTGGCTGCATGCTGCCGTGCAAGCTGCAAGCTTCGCATCGCCGCTTCCGGACAATTCAATCTATCAACCAAATTCACAAGTTTTCGCTGTATTATTTCAAGCATAATCTCATTCAGCATAACATGTATATGTAAAAAATAGTTCGCGGATATACCTGAGCAGAAGCAATGACTGCCTAAAGTACAAAACTCCTTTTGCGGCATCTGGTGCCTCGAGCATTTGATATATAACCGAAAGAGATCCAATATCGTCCACTGCTGACCACCGCTCGTAAAGTTGAAGCCAACAATCAGCAGTCGTCCACTGCTCAACGTGTTCCTGAACGAGCGTTCGTAACTGAGACGAAGCCACTCGTCCTTCAAACATTCGATAATCCGGCGACAAAGTAAGGATTGCTTGAACGTCCCGAAGCGCAGATCTATAATCTTCGAGTGCCAAATAGAAACAAAACCGAAGTTCCAAACAATCGAGAGCTAATTTGAAACCCAAAATACGATTAATTTCCATAAGAGCTGCCTCAGCGCTTTGCCTTCTCATCAAGAATGATGCCCGAAACATGTAAGGATAGAGAAGAGTGGGATCTAACTCAGTCGCCTTATCGAGATCTTCCCATTTTTTGTCCCCGTCGACGTACAAAGATCGCTCCATATACATCCAACCGAGAGGATTGAAAGATGAAATCACCGCGCTAAGTTGTTCATAGGATGAATGCCTATCACCCTTAAAGCAAGCAACTCTGGCCAAACCAGCGACTGAATAGATATGTCCAGCAGCGACAGCGGCGCCAAAAAGACGTTCTGCTTCATCATACTCCTTTCGTAAGAGCCTCACACAGGCGAGTTGATGAAAGGCTATCTGCTTCTGCCGGCAACTCACGGCAGACTCGACCAACTTCTCCAAAAAGGAAGCTGTAATCTCTGATTTTGGATTAGTATTCATTGAAACCTCACTTAATAAACAGTAGAGTGAGAATGAAGCATGTCCAGCCATGATGAACCTTTGCTGCTTATTAGCAGTAGAGAAGATTCTAATAACTTGTTCATCATTCATACAATCAGGAAGATCTCTGAGGAAAAATTGGAGACAAGATGCAGCGAGAACGGGAGAATTTTCCTCCAGTGCGCACTCCATGAGATCCACAGCATCTTGCCTTGAAGAAACTAAAGAAGCCAACTTTCTGTCACATGCCTCTTTGAGGCTCTCACAACAAAATTTATTTGCAAATATCAATATTTCTAACAAAGTATCTAGGGATAACAATTCATTTATGCTTCCCGAAAAACTGAAATTGCATATTGCTCTCATGGCTGAGGTTGAGATGTTATTTTCAGACATATCAATTACTTCTTGAATCGATTCGCTGAAACACCCATTAAGCATGGTGTTGAATGGAGGGGACAAATCTGCAATCTTTTGCCGATCACATGCTATATATTCTTCTCTTAAGCGGAAGAAAATGATATTGGATGGCTCTATTTTACCTAAATAACAGGAGCTCATTGCCTCAGAACCCTGAGGAGGGATTTCAGGGCCAACACCGAGCATTCTGAATTCCTGCGAACATTTACCACATGATGAAAGAAGATCAGAGATGGGTTCTTCACCCTTCTTCTCATATTTGAGCCATGCTCCAAAGATAAGCTTCTCATAAACTGTGGTTGCTGTCTCCCAAGCAGAGCGCAAGCTCCTCTGGAGCAATTTAACCTCTCCAAGACCCCTAAAAACCTGAAATTGAAGCAAGTATACCTCTGATTTCTCATGAGGCAAGCATGATTCTAGCTCTTCATGGATCTGGGCCAACACCTCCACATAATCAACCGGCTTGAAGAAAGGGAGAACAGGAGGCTCTGCAACCCTGATAAGAGACTCACTGCATGACAATGAAACAAATAAAAATTCAAACTTTAGAAAAATATAAGCAAATATAGCCTAGAAATGAAACAAAAGGTTTATAATACATACATAGAAGAGGGGGAGTGAGACGAAAACTTGGAAATTTTTCCCCTTTCCACCTGCAGCCATGACTGAGGATTCAACGTCTGAACCTGATTCTCCTTAATGGTGTCAGCATGGAATAGGTTCCTCATGGCACATAGAATCGAAGAAAATGCCCAAAGCTCCACAGTATCAGACCTTAAATCCGCTCTTAATCCTCAACAAAATATCTCACCAATGAAAAAACAAAACCAATAAATGGAGCTCCTTTAGCCCCCTAAAACCTCAATCAAGCCAAAAGTGCCGCCTTTGCAATAACTAAGGAGAAACAAAGAGACAACGATCGATCTGCAAAAACCCCCTTTCTATTCTCTTCGTCTCTATCCAAAACCCCAATAAATCCTTCAAGTTCCAACAACCCTCTCATTCAGAACAGACAAGTAAAAGAGCCGCCTTTCCTCCACCTCAACATCAAAAAACAAAACCTAGAAATAAATACTCCCCCAATTCCACCCCAAACTCCAAAAACACAACAGACTTTGCAAGATTCCAGCTTTAAAAACAAAAGAACAACACAATCCAACTACTGAAACTGGAACCTAGTAGAAAAAAAAAACTCCACCTTTGATTGAAATCTCAGCCCAGCATCAGCTGAAAAACAGATATTGTGTCAGGGAAGACGAATCTGAAGGCGCTGCTCCCTTCCCATCGATCTCTGCTGAACATAAATGCTGGCACAGGTCATCCTTTCATCGCCCCTCGCCTTTTTTTCCATACTGTTCTTCTTTTTAGGGCGAGCGACAGTGACAGGCAGAAGCCGCAGAATTGCAAATGGAGTTAGGAGAAAAATTAAATAAATAATAAATTTGGGGATACTGTCGAATTTGCAACTCCGTCCGAAAATTTTATACGTAGAAAGTTGCCGTAATTTCTGTTCTACCTTTCTCCTTTTGATCACAGTCTTACGCTCATCCAAATTTTTTGTTTTTTTCTTATAAATTGTTTCATGTAAGCTTCACCAAGTGGGAAGCAATATTTTTTACCTGCCATTTTTTACTTCTTAATTTCTATTATTTTATTTATAATTATCTTTTTATTCTGTTATTCAATCTTAAATATTGTACTAATTAGATTATTCACACTGTAAACAATATAGTTATTTCCACCCAACTCGCAAAATATAGTCTTTAGGGCTGCAAGTGAGTCAAACCAACTCGTGAACTAATTAAAGCTCCGCTCCATAAGTGGTTTGTGAACTGAGCTCGATGAGCTAACAAGTCAAGCTCAAATTAGCTTCGATGGACTTGTTTGCTCGTGGGTTTGTTCGTTTTGAAAAGTATTAATATAAAATATACTTAAAATATATTAAATTTGTAAATTTCTTCTTTAAAGTATTAAAAATATTTAAAAAATTAATTTTTTAATATTATATTAAGTAATTTATTATTATTTCTCGTTTAATTGTTCATTATACTTATTATTTTATTATAAAACTTTCTTAAATTATAATATTTTTTTTATATAATACATGAATCTGCTCGTTAGCCGGTTCGAACTCGTAAATTTAATCTCGAGCTCAAACTTGAACTCAATAAAATTAATTAAACTCAAGCTCCCACTCAAATGGAGTCGTTTACACTCTTAAACATCTTTGTAATAATTTTACACTCTTTTATCATTCACTTTTTTCTTTCAATATAATAATTTAGCCAATTAAAATATATGTAGTGGTTTGATGATGTGAATTGCGGTGAGCGTCGCTAATGCAGATTTGAAAAATAAAAAAGTATTTTAAAATTTATTGTTTATGAAGAAAAATATGAACTTTAAAGCTAAATTATATTTAATTTAAATATTTTAACAAATTACATCACAAAATTATACTGAGTTTCTAAGAAAGCCATTGGACGTGGATAAAGAGATTTTCTACTGCAATGGAAAAAAATATTGTATCAGAACTCCACACATAGAGTTACGTGCGGAGTCTAATGAAATCATGTCACTTGGATGTGATAGAAAAAAAATCGGCCCGATAACACTGGAAATATTCCTCCCATGTTATTCCGTGTTATTCCGGTGTTATTGTGTTCTGAGAATATTCTCGGTATTCTAATAGCACAATAACACATCAATAACACTTGAATAACACACTATAACACTTTAATAACACACAATAACATTTGAATAACACATGAGGAATATTCTCTTCTGTTACCAGACAGATTTTATTTTATTTTTCTGTCACCGTCACGTGGCGTGATTTCATTGTACTCCGTACATAACTCTACATGCGGAATCCTGATGTAATATTTTCTCACTGCAACGAGGATGCACAAACATGTATTACATCAATGAGATATTATTCTAAATAAGGAATATAAATTATATTTAATCTATAATTATTATAATGAAGAAGAATTTTTTTTTAAAGTAGACGGTTTATAAAATAAAAGTTTTTTTTTTTTTTTTTTTTTCGAAGGATAAGAAAATGTGAGATCTCATAAAATAAAAAATACTTAGATATTTTAATCAACTTAGATATAGTAAGCATGATATATAAGATTAGTGGCTATTTTAGATGATTTTCCACAAATGTTTTGTAGAATATAAAAATGAGCACAATTAAATTTATAGTAAATTCATTAAAGAAATAAAATAAAGTTAGATAAAAGTAGATGCGTAATGATAAAGCAAATAGCTTTGGAGAATATATCTGCTAAGATTGAAGAGTTTTGACTTTTTAGAAGAGCAAAAGTCAAAACATTTTTAATTAATAAAAGCTTAAAGATTAAATATGAAATTAATGGAGATAAAAGTGTAGAAAATAGGCTTTAAAGGCCAAGAAATGCGTTGGATATAATAAGTAAATGGACACACCTTATTAAATTATGCTCACATCAAAGAACTAAAATAACTTTATAAAAGAAAAATTAATTATAGAGGAATTTATATATATATATATATGTACAAGGCGGCAACTAATAGAAAAGTATGCATGTGTTGAGCCTAGCCGGTCACTGTGACTCAAGAATCAACTACTATGGTTGTTCTCGCAATGCAAGGTCTGATCAAGAGCCGATTTTTCCCAATGTATGAATCAAACCCTCTGATACTTCTACTCCATACGTTGGAGCAGGTGGTGTCAGATATAATAAGAACCTTAGGTGTTCAGTAATTTTTGATCAGTTAGTGGCCTCAAACTTGGTGTGTCATGACTTTATATTATGTTGAAGATGCTTCGGATCCAATGGGTTTAAGCAAGGTCCTGGTTATGTGAGCAAGGGATGACTAGGTGGTTGAAAGAGAATCAACCAGCTAGCCTTAGGTGGTCGAAAGAGATAATCAACTAGCTAGCAAGGGTGGTGTGGATCGATCAAGAGATCTTCATCCCCCTGAGACGCTTGTGGGGGAGTTCATTTAACAAGCTCGTGGGAATAGCGAGGTGTTGGTTGATCTCCCGAGCAAGATTGAATGCTCTTTTTCACAAGAGGCGGGGATTCAATAGGGCTCGGAGATACACGACTTGATTACGGCAAAGTGTGGTGCAGTTGGAAGGAGGGATGGGGGTGATAAAGCAGGCGACAATTATTTTTCAGCGTGAGCTTGTAGATTTGCTTGGGTTGCCCATGCCCATACTGGATGAAATAAGTTAAGACATTTTAGGTCTGGAGGCGAGTTTTTGTTTCAAAGATTGCATCGACTTGTTCATGTCTCAGTTGAGGTCACATCAAACCCCTATATTGGGTATTTTCTCTCATCGGGTTTAGAGTCTAGAAGAGGACTTTTATTGATAGTTTTATTTGTAAAATAAATCTTTGCTTTTCAAGCCATTTCTTGCTATGCAATTTCTCAATTTTTTTTGAACTTTCAATGGACTTTTTAGCATCCGCCCTCCTTGCTACCATTGGGAGTGTTCTATTTCTATAAAAAAGGTTACAATGGCGATAAACACACTTTATTTGTTATCTTATTCCACAACTATATTATTTTTTGCTTGCAACATGGCTCCTCGCCACTATTTTCTGATGACCTTCATGATCACTAGCATTTCCGACTCATCTAGGATGACCATGGATAATTCATGGAGTATCAAAAGAGCCACGTCTTTAATCCTTTTATTCACTTATTTAATCCTTTTATCCTTTTATTTTCTCTCATGGGGTTTAGAGTCGAGATGAGGACTTTTATATTTGTAAAATAAATCTTTGTTTTTCATGTCATTTCTTGCTATGCAATTTCTCAATTTTTTTGAACTTTCAATGGATTTTTTAGCATCCGCCCTCTTTACTATCATTAGGATTGCTCTATTTCCATAAAAAGGGTTACAATGACTACAAACACACTTTATTTGTCATCTTATTCCACAACTATATTAATTTTTAATTGCAACATGGCTCCTCGCCACTATTCTCTGATGACCTTCATGATCACTAGCATTTCCGACTCATCTAGGATGACCATGGATGAATCATGGAGTATCAAAAGATCCATGTCTTTAATACTTTTATTCACTTCTTTGATGTCAGTTAGGACAAGAAAGCTAATACCCTTAATGAAAACGAGTTCGTGATTTATATGGATCAATAATGACTAGGTCTCCAACTTAGAAGAAACTTACGAAATTATCCAAAAATGTCATAATTTTGATTTTGGGTGACATTTGGTGTTGATAAAATAATATACAAAATTTTGTAATTTGGATTGAATTAACCTACAATCTTTAGAGATGTTAACAGTTATATCAAAATTTGTGATCAATGTCAACGAGTAGGCAATTTTTCTAGGAGAAATGAGATGCCCCTCAATTATGTGTCGGAAGTTGAGATATTTGATGTTTGGGGATTAGATTTCATGGGACTGTTTATACCATCTTTCACAAATTTATATATATATTGATAGTAGTAGAATATGTATCTAAATGGATAGAAGTTGTTGCTTTACCTCGATGTGATGCTCAAATTATTGCAAAATTTGTAAGGACAAGTATATTTTGTAAATTTTGGATGCCTAAATTGATCATAACTGATGGAGGAAGTCATTTTAGAAATGCAATAATTGAGAAATTATTGAAGAAATATTGTATCAACCATCGAATTGCTACTATTTATCATCCTCAGACAAGTGGTTTGGCTGAATTATTCAATCTTGAAATTAAAAGTTTATTATAAAAAATTGTGATTCCAACAAAATGGATTGGTCAGTCAAACTTGATTATGCTTTGTGGGCTTATAGGACTGCATATAAAACTCTTATACGAATGTCCCCATATATGCTAATATTTGGGAAAACTTGTCATTTACCAGTTGAACTTGAGCATAAAGCATATTGGGCTATTAAGAAATTTAATTACAATTTACAGGATGTGACCAAATTTGAGATTTTCATGTCTATTTTACACTGATTTTGATGATATTGCACTTTAAATAAATGTATTTTTGATGTTTTGTAGCAAGTTTGTTGAATTATGGTCATTGGAGCAAAAAGATGCACAAATGAGCAAATTTGAAGTAAAAAAAGACCAAAATATGAAGATTTAATCTTAGCCGCCGCCGCCGGTGAGCCCGACGCCGCCGACGACGAGTTTTTCCCAAGAGTCCAGAATTAAATATTCTAGAAGGCCGCCGACGGTGCCATCAAGGCCGCTGACGGTGAGCACGTCGGTTCTCTCAACAGATGCATTGAATGTGGACAGTTTTTGAAGGGACACTTGGGCAACTCTTGAAAACTCTTCTACAACTTTAAAAAAAACATTGAGAGGCTGAAAAAAGTGGGTGTTCACGTATGTCCACGTGTGTGTCCACGGGTGTCCGCTGAGTCTTTGTTGTTTGTGGTGCC